GTTTCTCTTTATGGAAGAAGAATAAGATATGCTGCAGGTAATAGCTTCTGGGAATACTCAATGACTTTTTAAATAAAATTCTCATTATGTTTTACTGTCTATCTTTTCCAAAGTGATTTTTTTGTCAAGAAATATTTGAGTCTTGCCTATTTTCAGGGCACGTGTTTCTGAAGATGTATTTGACTTCTCAGTGTGCCAGGTGGGACTCTCTCTGACACAAACCAATGATTCCATATGCATCTTTTCACCATGGTAAAGCCCTTTTAAGCAATTCCTCCTGCCTCTTGTCCTGGTTATAACAACACAAGTGTTTGAGGGTTGGTGCAGTGCAGTGGATGGGGACCCCTCCTGTGTTCACATCAGCTGTGCAGGCCGTGCTGCAGGTTTTGGGCTGGCCATGCTGTCAGGATGTGGTTTGGAGGATGCAGATTATATTATATTATATAATTTATCATACTTCTTACGCAGGTGCAGTTGATCTGGGAAAGCACAAAGCCTAACATTTTAGATTCTATCTTTAACTTTTTCCAGGGCTCCACTATCAATATCACAAATCCTTTTCCTTTTGGGTCAGAGAACTGCCAATTTCTGGGCATCCTCACTGCAGAACCTGGTCTGCCAGAGACAGTGTCTGGATGGGGGGAGGAACAGTTGCCTTGTGGCTGCTGGTCAGCAGGGTACTTATCAACAGACTTTGGCTTTTGATAACACCAGAACTGGCCTGGCTCATGGCTGTAAAGGGCTAAGTGTGTTCCTATAGTACGTGTATTAAAGCAGGGGTAGAGGGGAGTATATTGGACTATGTAACCCTGTGTGTGTGCCATCTGTGTGTGAACTTTGTCATGGGGAAGTGGTAAGGGCTGGTTTGTTTGTTTGTTGTTTTTTTTAGTCTGGAAAGAGAAAATTCTTCCATTTTAAGTTTATACTTGTGTGCGTTTCAAGTATTTTTTTTAATCAAGGCTAGGATTGAAGGTGGGGTAGCTTCTTACTCTTTTTGCAGTGTGTTCTCTTCTATTTAGGCAGAATACCCCTAAATATGCACTGCAGGAGTAAAATGTGTGTTTACCACTGAATTTTAGTTGTATATTAAATAAACCTGGGTATGTGGCTCTACTTAGTATTGAAAACTCTCTGTCCTTGCTGAAGTACAACTTCTGTAATTCCAGATGATTGTGATAAAAAAGCAGAACACTTTGTTCAGGAACTTTTAATGGTCTGCTGCAGGGAAATAAAAATCCAGTCTTTGCAAAGAACAGTCACAGGACTCAATACTCACAACTCCTCTTGCCTCTGCCAGGTTCTCTGCATTCGTCTGCCATAGCTGGAAGAGGTTCTTTGGCTTTGTAGAATACAGAAGGTAGGAAGAAAATCACAGAAAGAAAAATGTTCTTGGCTTCCAGCCCTATAAATAAGCATGGGTGAAGAAGCCTTCTAGGAAAAGTAGGATTGGATATCTTGATGTGGTTCACTCTGCTTTAGGAATTTCAGGAAAACTGACGTAACCTGTTGGGTCACGTTGTTTGACCATACATGGACATTGGGTTTTAGATAGTTACACTTCACTCTTCTGTGTGTTTTAATTTTCTCTCTAGTGCCATGTGCAACTAATTTATGTATTACTAATTCACATATTGAATTAATTTAAGGAAATGGAGTCATCTCAGGGATCAGTAGAAGGCCGCGGTACTGAATTGAAAATCAAGTTTGCAGCAGTAACTTGCAGACATCAAAAGATTTGGAAGTTTTGTTTGGGGACAGAGACTTCAAACTTGGATGGTTGTTTCTTCCTTGCTCCACAGCAAAGTGGAAAGCTGTGATTTCCATATTCCTGGAGGAAGCTAGACAGGGAGATGCAGCCTCTCACTCCTTGTTGGCGTTGTTGTGACCTGTCCCAGCCAAACCCAGGGAATGTAGACGCACAGGAAATATCTTTATAAAATTTAAATATAGTCAGCTTTCTAGACAAAACCCCAAATTTGAGTTAGTACCTGAAAAAAAGGGCTGTGGGTTAGTATTTGGCAGTTCATATTTTAGCTAAGGAAGAATTCTCATATCCTGGAATGTGACCTGGCTCTTTGAGCCGTGTCTGGTGTTTTCTTCTATCGATGTTCCCAATTTGCAGGGAGAAAAAAAATTTTATTCAGACCTCACTTTCTTTGTATTAATCAGCTTTGCATCCCCTGAGGGAGGAGGAGCAGTGGGCTTTAGGAGGGGTGTGAAAGCACAGCTAATAAATCTGTTTTAAGTAGGATGGGTGAACAAATAAGCTCAAGAAGTGTGTGAGGCCCGTGTTTCCAAAGGGTTTGGCTTTGCAGTGATGTCTGCCAGCCTCATGGTAGATGTCCTCACTCTGCCTGGAGAACATCTTTGTGAAATAATGCCAAAATGCCTGCCATGGTTCTGCCTTGTAGCCAGTACTGCTGCTGGTATCATCTCTGGTGGGGTGGTACCAGACCTGACAAATAGAGAAAACCCTTTTTATTTATGTTTTCTTTTTGTTTTCTTCTTTCAAGTGAAGCAAGTGTAGACACGGCTGTAGTGACAAACCATTAATAAAGCAAAAGGAATGTAGCTGCAACACTTTAAATAATGACACGTAGCAAATAAATGTCAACATATCCGTTGTTGTGCCTGGAATGGAAATATTACTTGGAAAATATGTTGCTTCAAGCTACAGTATGGGGTTTTTTTCCTCAAGAAAATAGTATCAGTGTGATGTTTAAACTGTTAAAGCTTGGCTTTTGGATTCAGACTAAATGAACGTGTCATTTGTTTGGAGATTGGGGTTTTGTTTTATATGGGTTTAAAATGGCTTCTGTGAATGTTTTGTTCTTTACGAATGAACTTTAAATGTGAATATATACATTTGCACACAGGACAACTATAGATGCGTAAATAACTGCATGTATAGCCAGAATAGTTGGAGGTACAGCTGGCTATTGACTAAATCAGTCTGTTTCCTGGAAGCTGTTCATTCATGTGCTCTCTGGTGTTCATTATTGGGCTCTTTCAATCCTTTTCTTAATCCCAAGCAGTTAAGAAATGGCTCAAAACCTGACATATTCTCTTTTCCCTTGGTAAGCAAACAGAACCCCCAAAAAGTGAAGTCACACTGCCCCACACCTCCTCCTCCACCCCCAAATCCCAACACCTGTGAATATTGTTGTTGGACTCGGATGTTTCTCAAAATTAAAACCTGAAACTGTGGAGTAATGAGAAGCAAAAGCTTTAGGATGTACCATCCTAACAACAGCTGTGTCCCAGGCTTCTGGAGAGCTTCTGTCCTGTAATTGAGTCTTGGATAAAAGGAGGGATTTAATTTAAAGGTGGATGAAAATACATTGCCTCTGTTTATGTCTTGGTGAAGCGATGATTAGAAAAGTGGTGTTTTCTCACAGATGAGAACAGTGCAAAGAGCTGTGAGAGCTGTGCTAAATTTGGTGCTGAGTTCAATTAAAATGCTGGTCTTGAGCTGTGTGGCTGGAGGTCACATTGCTGGGTTTGCACACCTTCTGGAAAATAAATGTACTTTCAATCTTCTGGTTCCCCTTTGGTGTGAAGGGGCCCATTTGATGACAGTGAAAGGATAAGACACATGTGATTCAGTCTGTGTGGGCACTGCCATCACTTGTAAATCACACAAGTGCTTTTCCTCAGAGCTAGAGGAGCAGCTCTTGGTCAGGCCGGTGTTTCTGAGCATGAGGCTGTGCAGGTGATGGGATTGCAGAGAGCTTTGGAAGAGGTTGATGAAAATGAAGACAGCATATTTCAACTAAAGTAATGATTTAGTTGTTAAACTAAAAAAAAAAAAAAAAAAAAAAAAAAAAAGTCCAACAGTATTTGGGGCCAAGGAGATATAAGATATGCAGCATCCAGCATCCATGGAATGGGATGCTCCAAAGCTGGTGAGGCTGGCTCAGTCCTTCATCCCCTCTGAAGCAACTGAGTTAAACTCTTGGTTTATGACTCTCTAGTTGTGTCCCATGCTCTTTGCCAAAAATTCCTCTTTCTGTTACTCTGGAGTACTCTGATCATCTTGTGCCAGCTGATCACCTATGCTGCCACCTAAGTCACAGCAATTTTTTCTAACTTGAGTTTGGGATGTATATGAAATGGTTCAGGATGACGTTGGGATTCTCTGGCAGGAGGTGTACTAAGGAGGCTGCTCACCCCTGGGCATGTGAGGTTGCTTTGCTTTGGGAGCTGTTGTGCGGAAGTCTAGATAAGCTGTGTGATGAGATCATCCATGTTATTCACTGGAGCTGTGTTATTGCCCCATAAACCAGCATGATGATACCCTTAACACTGAATTAAGGCTTGTTTTTACAGGGCAGCTTCTCGTGGCTTTACTGATGCTCATGTATCGCATCAGTTAGCTGTGAGAGGGGGAGGGTGTGCTGGAAGTGATGTGTGATTTTTCACAAATCCTTACGTGATGTCTTCATTTTCTGTTGCCCTTCCTAGAACGGGGTGTTCAGAACATTGGGATGTGCTGTCCCTCCTGCTCCAGCAGAAGCCTTAATCCTTTTGGGTTGTGATTAAGTGGAAGTCAGGTGTCTGGTCTGTGTTTTGTAGTGGCAGTTCCCACTGTTTACAGGGCCCTAGAAAGAAAATAAAGGTGTTTGGCTTTGAAGTGTGGCTGTTGAGTGAAATTGCTGTAACATCTTAACCCGTGTGGGTAATTCCGAGAGCTGCGGCAGCAAGCAGGATGGTGATTTAAGAACAAAACTCTGTGTCTCAGAACCTGCCTATTTCAGCAATGAAGGCTGAGGTTTATAACTGTGGGAAAGAGTGGAAATCTGGCTAGTTGGTTTTTGGAATTCTTGCATGGAAACTTGACTTTCCGTGCTCTTGATCGAACAGTGAAAACCTCCATTCAGAGCCTTGAGCTCCTGTTGGAAAACCAGGGCTCCTGCTGAAGTTCCTGAATGGCAGAGCGACCTTCTGAAGTGCAGCAGGGTTTCTGCAGGGCTTTTAACTGCTGTTTTTTTCTCTTGCAGGAAGTCTGTTGAGGAAAATTCTCCATGAATGTACGTCACAATGATGATGACCGACCAAATCCCGCTGGAGCTGCCGCCGTTGCTGAACGGGGAGGTGGCCATGATGCCCCACATCGTGAATGGCGATGGATCTCAGCAGGTCAGAAACTGCCTGCCTTAAGTTAACTTATTTCTGGGTCAGCAAGGCATTTTCAGTATGGGGAAGATGGTTTTCTGTAGCACTAGGGAGTGCAGAGTGTTTCCTGGGATGTAGAAATCTGCTTTTCCGCTGAAAAGACTTAAAAAACAATGATTAAGGTGTACCATTAAATTGAATGTGTTTGTTTGCATGTGTGTTCATTGAAGTAAAAATAGTGGAATTGAAACAGTGGCTATAAATGCTGCATATTTGAGGGCTTTGCAGGAAGTTAGTCTTATGATTTACTTGTGCTCACTCTTGTCCAGACATCTTACTAGCCTTTGTGGTGAGATTTTAAGATTTTAAAAATGCTGATCTGAGAAAAAAATGAAACTAAGAAAATAAGTGGAGAATAGCAGTGATGTCTGCTATTCTTTGCTTACCTCACTATACCTTTCCCAGCAGGCCTGTGTGCTACCCTGTGCTTCATTAAAAGAAGCAGGTGTGAATTTTGAGTGGGTTTTTGAACAAAGGCAACTTTACAGTTTGCTTTTATTTTTTTTTTCTGGGAGATGCTCTCTAATAAGCTTGATCAGAACTTGGTGGAATGATCATAAGACCACAGCAATGCCCTCATGTCACCATATAGCCTGGAGGTTCAAGCTGGCTGGGTGGAACATTCCCAAAAATGTCATCTGGGGTCAAGGAGTCTCTTTGGAGAACATCTGTCTACCCTGGCAATATTTTTGTGCTGCTCAATTTGGTTCTCCCCTTAACATAAGAAATTTCAGCCAAGTATTGTAACAAAGGTAGAAGCAAGCTGTCCTTCTTGAATCAATATAAGAGGTCATTTTGTTACTTCTTGTTCCCTGGATCATTTGTTCCTCCTGCCAAGCTGTGTTTTGAGTTAGACCAACCTCAAGAGGAAGAATAATTTCTGCTTTCCTGCTGAGCTTCTAAGTATTTTTAGTTATCTGAAATCTCATTATGATGTAGACTTTCATTGTTGTGATTAGTTTGGTTTTTAAGTCATTTTTGCCAAGTGTGCTTTGATTTGAAAAAAACCAGAAAGGAATGCTTTCAGTGGCTGTATTTACCAAATCCAATATTATTACATTTAGATGAAGGAACAATCTTATTCGTACTAGAAAGGATAATTGTTCTTTAAGTACACACTTTCCTCCTTGCTGGAAACCACTTGCCAGGTCAGACTGTCCTGTCAGTGTGTCCTTCTGTGTTCCAAAAAGAATAAGTGAAATCTTCTGAGCCCTGCTTTGAGATGATGCTCTAAGCCCAATCTTTCCATTTCCCCATCTTTGATGATTCAGCAGCCTGGCTTGGCAGATGCCTCTGTTGCCTTTAAAGTAGTTTCTCAGCTAATGTTTTGCATTAAAAAGAGTTGCAGGTGCACTGGAAGCAGATTGCTTCTTGCTTTTGCTGTGTTATGCAAGCACCACTCAGTAGAACAGTTCTGGGCTGGGTCCCTCTTCTGTGTGTTTGCTGGATGATGCTCTTGGATCTCATCTCCTTATCTCCTGAAGTACCTGTAGCTGAAATACCAGTTTTCCATCAGACTTTTTTAGATTCTAGTCTGGATGTGCCCTTCTCTGTTGCAAAGCTTAACTACCTCTACACTTTGTCATTTTCATCCTACTCCTGAAGCTTTAGCTGATGTCTTTGCTTTTTAAAAGTACAGTTCTAGAGATGGAATGAAGTTGGAATAAATGCTTTGTTTGATCTTTGCAAATGAACTATGTTAATTGCTCTTAACGTGGTTGTAATGTGGAAACAAGTGATTGTTGAAAGAGATTTATTTTAGGGACTTGTGAGGTGGGAAGAGGCTTCAGGACAGATTCGCACAGGGACGACTTCCTTAAGAAAGATGGTTTGTATGACTCCATAAATAGGTTCTAGCTTTAGGAGGACACCCATTTACAGGGTGTAATTACAGTCTCCATTAGGAGCTGGTGGTGAGAAGGCATCCTAGCAGAGCTGGGGGAGGATGAGGAGTGTGGGGTTTTGCAGGCTGCAGGTAGGTCAGTGCCCCATGCTTTGGGGCTGACAGAATGGAGGTTCTGATGGAGAATGGAGGCTCTGGGCACCCTGAAAGTTGCTCACCCTCGTGTGTTACTGGATTTGTGGAGCCTCAGCTGTGCCAGCACCACAGAGCTGCATCAGGAGCTGTGCCTGGAAATGCTGAGCTCCAGGGAAAAGCCTTTCCTCAAAGGACCCGTTCTTACACACAGAATAAGGCAGACTGGGGCTGGTGAAACACCTTGGCCTTGCCAGCAGCCAGCTGGAGAGTGATGCAAAAGGCAAATCTGCCGGTGAACAGGCCTGCAGTGTAAGGCAATTGCAGGGAAACATTCCCTTTCTTTATCTTGCTGAGAGTGAGGGCTGCAGAGCTGCACAAGGAAGGGCGAGGAATGTCTCTGCCTGCTTGACAGTAATCCCTCTCCTCTAGACTACCCAAAATGGCATTTCTAATACTGACTGGTTTTTTTTTTTTTTTAGTTTCCCACACTTTATTTCCACCACTGCCAACTGTGTTTAATGCTTTCATGTTGCTTCCAGAGCTGTTTCTGCTTCTAATCCACTTGTAACTCCTTAGGGGATTCAGGGAGCAATAATTAACCTTTTGGTCCAAGAATTTCAATGGTTTCCTGTAGGTACTCCACTACAAGCTTTAAAAAGCTTGGAGTATAAAGTGGAGGGGCAGCTAGCTGTGCTACAGCACATCTGTACAGAATGTTGGGCTAATTAATGGGGAAGTTTTATTTCAGCTTGGTTCACTCATTGCACCTGCAGAGGTGCAGCAGGTTTTCTGCTTGCCTGCTCTTTGTGCCCTGTAGTTTCACCACTTGGCTTGAGCTTAGGCACTGTGCATAGTGCTGTGTGTGCTTGTTCTTGTCTTTTAGGGTCACAGGCTTTAAATGAGGGAGTCAAGAGTACAGCTGAATGAGGAACAAGATTTGGTGCTTTCCTGTGCACCTTGCAAACAGCTGAGAGCACTTTCGCTGCGTTTTGTACTGACCCACAGCATCTCAGCTGAGTGAATGAACTTGCTGCCAAAATTTAGTTACTTCTTTGTGGTTTCTCGATTTATTAATTTATTTTATTTTTACAGCTTCTTTGGTGTGTGTGTTTTAAGGTTGGATAAATCAGGAGGTTCAGGATCTGCCACTTGTGGGTTTTGCTGTGAAGAGCACTCATGGTAAACTGACTGAATTGCTTCATTAATACCTCTATTTTTTGTCCAGTCGAAAAAAAATTTCAGACATAATTGAAGTATTCATTTTTAAAAATCAGCTTTATTGTTTAAGATGTAGCATGTTCCCTGATTTTTCTTACTGAAGAGATGCTGGAAGTGTTTAGCCTACCTGTTGTGTGTGACTGAGAGATGGGTTCCTGAGAAGAGTATTGCACACAGAATGCTGTGACTTCCCTGGTCCTTCCTGTGGGATGCACCTGGAAATTTATTGGGGCACAGTCTTTTAAAGTAGATAATGGAATGGATACAAGTGATTGCTTTGTTTATTTTCTTTTCCCAAAAGATGCAATGCATTCCATAAGTTATGTGCCGTAGAAACTGTAATTACAATAACTGTTAATGGTTTCAAGCATTTGTGAGGAACCTGTGGCTGGATCCCAGGTGTTGCCTGTGATGTTGTGATGGGGAGCTGTATGAAGCATGATATATCTCATGGAAGGGAAAATTCTCCACACGGGAAAATGTTTAATTTGGAGATTGAATAAGCCCTGCAAGCTGCTCTTTGGCCTTAGTGAGGAAAATGTTCTTGTAAGGGGGAAATACTTTAGGAGAGCTCTGGGGCTGAATTGCATCACATGGATTCAGGTGAATGTCATCAGTCTCACTGTGAGAGGCCACAGAGCAGGTGGGGGATGAGGGCCTGCCTTGAGTGTTAATTTTCTGCTGTGGGCTCAAAATCTTGCATAAGTAAATGAGTAGTGTACAAAAGAGATAGTAGTGTATGCCCTTGGTCCTTATCAGGTGGCATTTTCCCTTTGTATAAGTGTTTCCCCGAACTATTTGTAGTTTTATATCATGGGTTGGTTTGGATAGAAGGGACATTAAAGCCCATCTCTTTCCATCCCCTGCCATGGTGGGGACACCTTCCACTATCCTAGGCTGCTCCAAGCCCTGTCCATCTTGTCCATGGACACTTCCAGGGATCCAGGGGCAGCCACAGCTTCTCTGTTCCAGGGCCTCCCCACCGTCTTAGTAAAGAAATTTCTTCCTGATATCCAATCCAAAACTTCCCATAGTCAGTTTATTTATTTGTGAACCTGAGCTTATGCCTGCGTTGGCTTTGTGGGCGCTTCTTTAGCCTCTTCCCCTGGCCATGAGAGATGGATGTTGGGAGCAAGGGAGGCACGAGTGACACGTGCTTGGCTTGTCGTGCAAACTTAGTCTGGACATATTCTGTGGGATTACAAATATTTATAGTAGCTATGCAACTCAGTAACATTCATCACCCAACAAACATGACTTTCAGCAAAATAGAATGACATTCTTAAATGCAAAATAAGTGCAAAAAGAGCTTTATGGAGATAACAAGCTTTCTCTGAGGATGCAGCAGGTATAGCTGGGCCTCAGCACCAAGTGGATTAAACTGCTGAGTTAAACATCAGAGTACTTTTTAGGAGAAAGAAAAATCCTTTGGGATTGTGCTGCTGACGCCCAGCTGTCCTGTGCTCCAGCTTTTTGGATGGGAGGAGGCCAAGGACTGGAAGTGGGCTGGGGTGACCTTGGACATGAGACCACACCCTGAGATGCTGCCAGCCAGCAGTGAGGGCTCCAAGTGACCCTTCAAGTTAATCTCCTCTATTGCCATCTCATAATTGTGCATACTGGGGATGATGAATATTGGAAGAGGCATAGCACAATTAAAGATCATCTGGGTTTGTTTTCATTAAAATGGAGATGTTATCTTTACACTTTTTTTATTGCTTTCCTCAGATTTTTTAATTAAAAGCTTTAGAAACGAGGCTTCTCCTTCACCCTTGTGTGAAAGGAAAGGGGGGAAACTGTGTTCCAGGCTGCAGAATATGGTTTTGTTGTTTATGAGGAGTTGGGGAAAAATAAATCAGGGAATTAGTTTTATATACTTAGTGTGTATAAACAAAAGAAGTTGCAGTGTGCCTTGGCATTATTTGTCCCAGGCAACTGGGACAAGTCAGGGGTGTTGGCTGGAAGGTGCCCTATATATAAAATACTCAACATGTGCTGGCTTTAATGGTTTGGCCTCATTCCTGCATCTCTTTGGTCAGTGCTGTGCCTCTGTGAGCTCTGGGGGCTGTGTGCAGCATGGGGGGACTGGGTGATGGGATGGGTTGTGGGGAGCACCCCAGTACTCCAGTTTTGGGAAAAGAGGAGCTGGGGATGGGTTGCAGCCTCTGGAAGGATGGTGCCTGAGGAGCATGGTTGCTGCTCCCGGGTCTGAGCCACTTTGGTTTCATGTCCTGCCTTTGTGCCCAGCCCTTGCTCCGCTGTTGACCCACGTCAGTCGCACCTTGGCGATTCCTGTTTGCTCTTGATATTGCTGCCTTCCCCCAGCAACAGCCTGGAAATGTTTTCTTGGCCTCCAAAGGTGGCTGATTTGAGCATCTGTCAGTAAGGAGTTATTTCCATATCTATAACAGTTTAATAGAAGCTATTGTAGATAAGTGCCACGCTCTGCCCACAGGCTCTGACGGGGGGACAAAGCTGTGTGGCTGCTGCTCTACAGGAAACAAATTTGTTACTGGAACAATTTGTTTGTCTTTAAAGCCCCTTAAGGATGATGCTGCTTCATTTTGACCATCAAAAGCAACAGCTGTGAATGGGAATATCACCTTTTTTAATGCAGAACCACAAGGAATTATTGTAAAGGGACAACTGCAGGTGTGCTGATGTGGACAGTTGTGCTGGTGATGGACTCCTGGGACAGGAATCTGTAAATTTTCTGATAACTCTGGGGTAGGCACATACCTTAAGTAGGGAGAGGAATCTGTCTGTCCTGCTTTAGGGAAAGGATGCAGCTTTACATGCATAGGGCATCAGTCTTGAGTAGAGTCTGTGTTTTGAGGAGCTGGACCAAGTTCTTCCAAGTTGTAAAGGTCTGTAAGGGCTTCTGATTTATGTTAATCCAATTTGTTTGTAAATAACCAGCCTTAGGGCTGTTGGTTTAGACAAATGTTGGTTTAATGCAAATGAGCTGATGAAATATTTCTGATTCTTGGCCTCTTTGAGTTCTGCTTTCTTGTTGATTGGCTGTTTTGGGTTTTTTTATTAAGCTGGATGACATTGCTTTGCTCTGCACATGTTTTGACCTGCTGCCCATGTCCTGTGGTGGATAATTCACGCCTATTCATAGCAGAAGAGCACTTAAATGCTGTCACTTAAATGTTGATTGTTTGGAGATTAGGGATGGAATGGCTTTGTGCCTTTTATCTTTTCTGAACCATTTATTGTGCTGTGTGCTGGACCAGATCCACTCTGATCAGTGCTCCCTGAGAAATGATTGTTCCAGACAACATAATGGCTTTCATGTGTCATTTTCTGATTTCCAGCTTGAGCTTTAAAAATGTTGGTGAAATAATGGGTTTCTGTAGGATTACTGTAATTCAAAAGGTCATCTAGGTAATAATTATCTTATGCATTTGGCTTAAGGAATTCAGAAACACAACATGAATTCAAAATCTCTCTTTGCAGATGGAATGATTGAATTATGTATGCAGATGTCCCAGAATATAAAGACCAGACCTAAATTTAGAGAGAGCTTTCACAAAAAAAATGTAGATTAATTTTGGTACAAATTGAAAATTTAGTGTATATCTTGATTGAACTTCTGACAAAGCAGTTAGCAGAAGTGTGTTTAAAGTATTTTAGTGAAAGCTTCATGAGCAGCAAGGTGGGATAAATGGTCTCTAGTCCTCAGTGACACTATCTATTTAAGAAAGGATTCAAAATCGCAGGTTTTAAACCCATTGTTCCAGATACCTGCAAATTTATAAAGATGATACAACATACTGTGAACTGGACTATTTTGGTGCTTCGTGGTCCTTGTGTTATCCCATCATCTGGATTCAGCAATGGGAGAGTGGGATGATAGTTTTATTATTTTTAAAAAGATGATATTTGTTAATAAATAGTTTATTACTGGTTCTGTGTGCAACTGTTAACTATGTGTGTGCCTGTGGGTTTTGGTTAACTGAGATCTGTTACATGCAAGACTGAAATATAAATTGTTGAAAACATAATGGATCAAATCTCCAGAGCAAAAAACTTGTATTCCTGTGAACTTGCAACCCTGTTATGGGTTGGTGCTGCATGCTGGAGTTTGTGAACTCTCTGTTCTCATGTGCCAGTGGTCTGAAGGTTTATGTCCTTAGCTACCAGCATCTGGCCAAGTTAGGCACACACCAAGATTTTGGTGTGGGACTCAAAGCCATAATTCTCACCTGTATGCAATTAGCTACATCTTCATTTCAGCTCCTAAAATGCAGGTGGGTTTCAGATCTCTGCCTGCTCCTGCAGTCTGGGGTGTGATTGTGCCAGGCTGTGCCCTCCCTGCTTCCCCACCCCTTTCAGAAAAGCGATAGCACAGTCACTGTTTCTGGGAGATTTCAATTTTTGGACATCACAGTGAAACAAATGTTTATTTTTCTTTCTGCAGGTCTTTTTGGTTCAAGTTAATCCAGGTGAAACCTTTACAATAAGGGCTGAGGATGGAACCCTCCAGTGCATCCAAGGTAAGAGGATGCACCAACACGTGGATATCATTGCTTTGCTTTATGGAATACCTGTTCTGCCCTCTCTCCAAAAATGTGGTTTGCAGCTCTCAGAATGCACTGAAGCACTGGGGAGTGAGAACTGCAGACGTGGCTGCTCTCTGTATTCTAGGAGCTCAGCATCTCAGAATGAGTCATGCATTTCTTGGAAGTCCGGGAGGATTTCTCCCTTCTGTTATTTATCAGGCCCATCTTGCAGCCTCTTTGCATCTTCTCTGTGACACCCCCTCCATTTACGCACTGGAGGAGTGGGTGGTTCTTGCCTGAAGTTCCATCCCCATGGAAATGATGAATTAATAGTTGTTTGAGATAGACGTTACAGAAGCTTCCCTGAACACCATCCAGGGTTATTTGGTCTTGATGAGCAATAATAACAGCAATTTAAAGCTGCTTGTTGAGATTTATAGCCAACATGCTGTGTGGTAAGAAATTGGTCCATGTGGCAATTAACAGGGGAATAAAGCTGGCTACTCCTTTTATTTGAGAAGAATGCTTTATTCTGGCTTAGTACATGAAAGATTTCCATTACAAATATAATTATGACCCCATTTATTTATAATATTGTCCATACTCAAAGTGGTGTTCAGACAGTGTATTTAAATGAAGGCAACTTGAAGCCTCATGGTTCTGTATTCCCAGTAATTTAACGTGTTTGTGCCAGTGGGACTTGTTTGGTACTCATCAGCAGTCTTTCATAAAATTGATTTAGAATTTCTAGCATAACATTGTCTCCTTTTATTTGCTATAGCTGCAGAATTGACTGCCAAAGCTCATGTTTATTTGTATACACCCTTTCAGTTTGGCCTGAAAATTCTTGATATTATTTTCAAGCTAAAGATTCTGATTCGACTTTATTGTAAAATCTTTTTATTGCTGAACTAAGTACATGCTTCAGACGCAGGAAAACACCTGACTGTGGTGTTGGTGTGGTTTTTTTTTTCTTTTGGTAAAGCAGCTCTTACCATGCAGTTGTGGAACTTGATAGTGATCTATTGCAGAAGATCTGTTGTAATCAGCCTGCAAATATACTAAGATTTGGATTTGTGACAGTTCTGGTTTTGTGCCCTGAGGTTGTTATAGAAGACAGGCTTATTTTGCGTTTAGTGTTTTTGGAAATTACACACCCCCTTGCTCCACAAAACTTAGTGTCTTTTTTTTTTTTCCCCTGTGACAGAGTTTTTGGTATGTTTAAAGGTTATGGAGTTTTTGGTATGTTTAAAGGTTATGGAGTTTTTGGTATGTTTAAAGGTTATAGATGTTTGGTATGTTTAAAGGTGAATGTATTCCCTGTACATAGGGCAGCACCCAGACAATAACGTTGCATTTTCCAATGCTCCCACACTGCTCTATGATTAGCAGGATAAGGAATAATTTTAGCACTCTGTTAAGGCAGCATGAAAGTCTCTTTTTGGGCAGTGCCTCTCAGCTGGTAGCTCCCTGTGGAATAGATGATACTTGCTTTTTCCTTACTGCCACGTACTCAGGGTTATGACATCAGATGTGCTGCTGGATATTCAGAGTGTGAAGGATGGCTTTATTACAATTGGGTGATTCTCCTGAGTGCAGGGAGTGAACACTGTTAATAAAAACTGGAGATGTCAGGCCTGGTAACACTGAATTCTTCAAGATATACGAAAGCTCTTTCCATGTGACTGTTCTGCAGGGACAGCTAACTTTGCTTATGCAGAATAATTTATTTTTTTTTTTACTTTTTCGCGTAAGACTTTTTGAGCAGTATGGAATCTTCACATTGTTCTCCTGGAGCCAGTTCTGGAAGCCCTGTGAGCCCAACTTTGTGTCCAGAACCCTGTTTGGCTCCACAGCTGTGGTGTATCTGGTGATGATGTGCTTCATAATCTTGAGGCAAAAACAGCAGAGGAGTTGATGACTTGGTGAATCTTCATTTGTCTTACCAAGGTTGGAAGAAAGACACTTGCATGAGTAAAACCTCTGTGGAATATCCTCTGTTTTAAACACCCTGAAGTGTAATTAGGCACTAATTGAGTAATCACTGTTTTAAGCCAGAAAGAACAGATGCACATTTGAATGTTTCTGACGTTTTGGAGTGGTGGAGAAATCTCAAATACAAAAACTTCTTCCAGATCCTCGAGGCTGCAGCAGTAAGACAATCAGTGAAAACTTAAAAAAATAACAACCCCTAAATAATAAAAAACAGGAATAGATATGTGTTTTTAGCTGAGGAGGCAAGGTGTTGCAGCAAGTGCTCTCTTCATTACTTACTTATTTTGTTTGCATATAATTGAGGGTGACTTTTAAAAGACAATGATTTATAAGCCCTGTAGATCCTGGTGTGGACCTGGATTAGGCAGCTCTTGGAGATGATGGTGGCTGGGAGAAATTCAGCTGGTCAGTGGGCATGGAGAGGGTCTGTGATTTCCTTGAGAAGACCGATTTAAAGAGAAAATAAATAAAAAACCCCACAATAAATCTGGTCTTCTGGAGAAATCCAGCCCTTGAGTGCGCAGCCCGCGTGGGGAGTTGTTTAGGGAAGCATCTGAGCAGTTCCAGGTGCTCTCAGCAGGAGTTGTGTTGTTGTCTGACTCCCTCAGGATTTGCCTTCTCCATCCCGTGTGATGGCAGAGATGCTGTGCTGTGTGACTTTTGTAGCCTTTATATCAACAGCCAGACAAAGGAATAAAGAAAAGGAATGTCGGGGACTAACTGAGATTAATTTTTTAATAGTTGCTGGAAGCTGAACCAACACCTGGGGCTGCCTGCGTGGATGGGAGGCACGAGGTGCTGCCCAGCTGGGCTGTGCAACACCCCGGGCCTTGCTGCGTGTTGGGGCTGCCCACCTGGCCTGTGGCATGGGGTGGAAACATAAAGCACATCCTTTATTCATGTGTGATTCCAGTCTTTGTTCCTTTCAGTCCGTGGGGGCGTTAATGACAAATCTCTGGTGTGCTTCCTTTGGGATTTCCCTGCAAACACCCAGAATGAGCTGGGGGCTCTGCCTGCAAAGCTGCTCCTCTGGGAGGGTTCAGGGGAGGTTTAGGATCTCCATTCTGTGCCTTTGCAAGATGGAACATGTGCATGTGCTCTGTCATCAGTATTTTGAAAGCCGCTCTTTACACAAAGTTTGACAGGTATTAAATACTTCATAAATGTGTCGATACTTTAAATGCTTCATTTCCTTTTTGCATATTCCCGTTTTATTTGTCAAAAAATCAGGGCTTGGCTGTTGCTAACTCTGCAAGAAAAGGATAAGGGCAGGGCATATCCTCAACCATTTCTTTACTCAGCTGTTAACTGTGGGCCTTGTATTTCCTTTGTATGAAAGATTGCTTCTAGCTAGTGCTTTGTGGTAACCACAATAAATGAAATATGGAGCAGGGTGAGAGCCTGGATCTGGTAGGAATTGAAACAGACCCCTGAATTAAAAAAAAAAAAAAATTATTCTGCTTTTTAAATTTCAAAATAAATAGATCTCATGTGAAACTGACATGTTCAGGAAACTCACATTTCCCTAGTGGCTGATTAAATATGAGTTTTTTAGCCAATATCTTAAGATCTTTGGTAGGAACTTCTGTTGCTGCCTGAGAGTTTTGTCATTCACACTTGAAAAATTCAGTGTTTGTGCATAGTTTGGGGCAGTGAAGCTGTTCTTGAGAATCTGTTCAGAGCCTTTCCCTCCTGGAAGGCAGTAATGCCAAGCTGTCACACCCTCTGTGGTAGGAATAACATGGGCAGAGTGATTGTTCTGGTGCCACCTGACCTTGCTTGTCACCCACATGTTGAAAATGTGTGTGTACAGAGTATGCAGGCTGCATAAAGCTTCTATCCATTGATCACACAGAATTGCCCAATTACTGCTAAATGTCCTTTTTATTGCCATCCATGTAAATGGTGCTCAAGCTGGATCTCATTTTCTGCCACAAACCAAACTGAATTTTCTGTGTGCGTGTAAAGCTGCAAAAAGCCTGTAAGAAGGTAGGAGAACAGGTAGCAGGAAAGCAGCTTTTGGAATAAAAAATTGAATTCCTGGTAAATTCTGCCAAACCCATGCTCCTGGAAATGATCTCTTGAAACTCACCCCTAGTCTTTGTCTTGTATGCCAGCACAAGGTTTGGAATAGTGAAGAACAAAATTTGCCTGAAAAGAAAGCAAATATGCAAAAGGGTTAAAAGTTCTGCTTCAGTTCTGGCCTGGAGCAGGGGGAATTCACCCTTGCATAGGGTGAGCAAGGCTCTGCATTAAACTGGTTTTTGTGATTTATTCAAGGACAAGGCTCAGATGTGCAATGGCATGGAGGGGGTGTAGTCATGTTGGAGCATAAATATCTGTGTTGCAGACAAGGACCTGAATTGCTTTTGGGTGGTTGGATTTTGAAATGAAAACAGGATAAAAACATAGACAGTTTACAAATACTGATATTTGTTTCAAGTGTTTTGCCATTGAGGCTTGAACTTGAAGTCTTTGCTGCTTCTTATCTTGTAAAACAAAGAATGCAAGAATTCAATTTCACTGCTGCTTTTTCTGTGTCTCTAAAAATGAGCAACTCAAGAAAAAGACCAGAAGTATGCAAAAAATTTAGCAGTGGTTTCTCAAATGAAAGATTTCCTGGAATTATTATTCCCTTAATTTGGTGGGTGGGTGTGGTTTGGTGTGGTAGTGCAGAGGAATGGATAATGTTAAAGGCTTAACAGCTGTATATTTGTGTAGGAAGAGTGTGTGTGTGTCAGTGAAATAAGGCTGCTAGTACAGTCCAAGCAAACCAAACAAAGTGTGTATTTTCTTTTTCCTCTACGGTATGAGGTTGGAAATGAGGAAGTGAGTCAGTTTCTTGCAGGGGAGGAAAGAGTTGAAAATAGATGGGACTCAGTGTGAGCAAGTGAGTGAGTGGTACCTGTGGGGTGTTACTGGGTGGGGACAGAGGCATTGGGATGGAGAGTGGTGATGGGCACATAAAAGGGAACAGATGGATCACAGAATCCCAGAAT